CTTCCTTCCTTCCACCCTTCCTTTCCTTCCTTCCTTCCTTCCTTCCTTCCTTCCTTCCTTCCTTCCTTCCTTCCTTCCTTCCTTCCTTCCACCCTTCCTTCCACCCTTCCTTCCACCCTTCTGCCCTTCCTTCCACCCTTCCACCCTTTCTCCCTCACTTCCTGACTCTAAAGATTGAATGTAGAATTGAACCTTTAGAATGTGCCAATTTCCAAAAATTCCTGGTTGCTAATTCTGGTCAATGAGAGAATCTCTCTGAGTCTATTTGGTATTCACTGTCTTTATGTACTGTTCTGGAAATGATACAACTTAAGCTAATAGTGTCATCTGAAAGATGAAGAAAAAATGGCTGGATCCAACCTCAGAATAAATGTGGACCTGACCCTTAAACCATTCTCAGATCTACCAAGGTATTTCCATGACATCAGTGGAAATCTAAATTGCTCTGTTTATATGGCCTGTTTTTTTTTTTGACGACATATATTATTTACAGTTATGATCAATCTTGTGGACATAAAATATGTACAAGGAAAATATAATATGCATGTTTAATGTTTTACAAGACTGCATATTTTTCATTGCCTTTTAGTTTCCAGACTTTTAGACTTGATGAGTTACATACTCTTCAGTTAAGCTGCTTAGTTATTGGCAGCTTATTAATTGCTTCTGCATTTTGTTCTGTGGGTATTGTTGTGTTTTTATGTGTTTCACTTAAAGAGTGAAACCTTAGGAAGAGTGTCTCAGTCTGTCGCTCTATACCCTGTGAGATAAAGAAGCAAATGTTTTCTGGTTCTGTTTACTCCTCACAAAGAGAAAAACGAGTGACCCATTAGATGACAAAGACAAGTGACACTGTACTTTTTATGTATCCATTAAATTGTTTTAAAGTTCAGTCTTTGTCAAATTGGGAACTAATAACATTTGGTAATCTAATGCAAATTAAAAGATAGTGTTTTGAAAATAACAATACTGTAATTTGGTTGTATTTTTTTCATATTAATGTATTGGAAACATTGGCAATATATTTTCACTTCACTTCACAAAGTTTCCAACTTTGAGGCTATTTTGAAAATTAGAAGTCAAAGCAACAGAAAGAAATAAATCTCCCTGGGAAATCAAGATGAAGAAATACTGCACAGAAATTCTAAACACAGTCCTTTGTAGAAAATATATTCACCAATCTGTTGCTATTGTTTCTGTCTTGTTGTTTCTGTCTTACTGCCTCTTACTAAGTGGATTTTTTGATTCTTTGGTAATACTGTTTAGCTGTTGTTCCTGAGACAAAGTTGTTGTTTCTTATATGTTTCTTATATGCTTTCCCTTAGCTATTTAGCAGGGGAAAAAATGTTTCTCATATTGATATGCCATCTGTCTTCAGTGAAAATAGTGGAAATAGRATAATTAAAATGCACATATATTTAGATATATTATCAAGCTATTATAAATATTTCCCAAAATAGAAGCATTAACTGTTGACTAAGAGGGCATTTCTGTTTTCTAAGTTGCAAGCAAAGGCCTCTATAGCCCCCTCCAGGAAACTTCATAGTGTACCTTTTTCCATTCATGATATATAAAACCTTTATCTTGTGAGAATATTCTACATGTTGGTGTCTTTCTTCAAAGTGAAATCAAAAGTCCCAATTCATTTATTTTTGTAATTGATGCTGGCTAATTAAACAATAGAACAGACAGACAAGGAGTTATGATTAATCCTCCTTTCTCTGATATGAAGTATTCAGTCAAGAATATGAAGGTACATAGACCAGTTTTGCATGTAGATTGTCCCATTCTGATATGCATTCCTGTCTTACTTTGGTTTTTCTTCTTTTCTTTTTTTTTTTGTTGATGTTGTTTTTTTCTTTTTTTTTAAACTTACTTACAGTTATTTGTGCCAGCTTTGAGTCTTTTTAAATTTTTATTCTGACATAACTGTGTAATATTTTTTAGCTAATTTACAAATGTGGAAGTAGATGAAAAAGTGCAAAATATCATAGAAGAGCATTATGGCAATATTTTCTTCTTATAGCAGAAATAGAATGACAGAAAATAGTGTAGGAAAGAGCTTTTCATACTTATTTTTCTGCTCTAGCAGTTCAGATTTGTATTCTCTCCCTTGGGGATTAATCCAAGTCAGTGCCTCAGGAACACACTGTTGAAGTCCTGTCAAATAACAAAGGAAAATATTTGGATTTTGATAGGGCTTTGCAGAACTCTTGAGAGAAAAGTACTTCTCTAAACTCATAACTTTATTCTTCAAAAAAATCAAAGTCATTACTGTAATTCCATGATTCATTGTTTAATATAATGCTTTGTAATACAAAAGATGAGAATAAGAACATGTTCTTTTTTTTCTTCCTTGCACTTCTAGAATTAGATCACAAGACATACAAACCATTAAACCCAGCTTTTTTTGTAGTTTTAGTTTATTGCATCCAACTTTTTCTCTGTGTGTGTGTGGTTATATATGTATGTATATATATATATATATGTGCGTATGCATTCACCAAATATGTCATGTTATATATACGGTGTATTTATTTAGTGACATTTTTCCAATTGTAGGTGCATGTTAACATTAAAAAAAAGTAGAAATTTATTTCAGATGGATTAATAAAATGTGAATAATACCATATTTTAGTGACTTCATGACTATGAAAATTGATTTAGGCAGGAAAAATTGGATTTTTCATAAAGCAGCCTCTTGGATATTAACAAGATTTTTTATTAGTAAATGCTGAAGCCCAAAAATATGCTTCATTTATGTCTTACCTTTGGAAAGAGTGGACAAGATAAAGTTTTGTTGGAGAGGCTGATCCTACCAAAGTAAAAAGGAGAAGAACTGGCTCTGTACTCAAGGGGGGGGGGAGAGAGAGAGAGAGAGAGAGAGAGAGAGAGAGAGAGAGAGACTGTGCGGATTATTTCTCAAATGTAGATATTGCCTACAGGAGGAAGATGTCAGTGTGATATGTGACAAAAACTTCAGTGTACTTGATGCCAATTCTGGTCAAGACACTCTATTAGTTCTGTCTAGGAGATAAATTATTTATTGAAGAGAAAATGTTGTAACTTGGTCCAGAGTTTTAAAGAACAGGAAATATTTCCTTTCCTTTTTTCCTGCAAAAAGTTCATTTGTTCAGCTTTCAGGGAGGCAGTTTGTTATTTTACTTCTCAGATTTTCTCATATGGTAGCAGGATAAATTCAAAGATAAGATATGCTACATGTTTGTGCATTTTTTAGTTTCTCTTTTCCTAAGAGGAAAAAATAAGAATCTTTTTGGACGGTAGTGCATGATTTTCTCTCATGAATACCTGATTTCTGGGAGAATTTTGAGAGTTAGTAATTTTTCATTCTAACAGCAGCTCAGCAGGGTATTATCAGTATTTGTTGACTAYCAGAGTAGGAGAAAGAATAAATGTAGAAAGGAAAAAAAAAATCCTTAATC